GCCCAGGGAATCCACCCCACGGCGGAAAAGACGACGGCGATCTCTAATGCCCCGGCTCCCACATCTAAAACAGAACTACAGGCCTTCTTAGGCCTATTAATTTTTTATCATTCTTTTCTCCCTTTGAAAGCAGCAGTGGCGGAGCCCCTCCATTGGCTTCTCGATAAGGGCACGCCTTGGGTCTGGGGACCGGCTCAGGCTGCGGCATTCCAAGCGGTAAAGGAGCTCCTCATCTCCAACTCGGTCCTCGCCCACTTCAACGAAGATCTACCAGTGGTTCTGGCCTGCGACGCCTCTCTGTATGGGGTCGGGGTGGTCCTGGGGCACAAGCTGCCGGACGGTCGGGAGGTCCCTGTGGCCTACTACTCCCGGACCTTGTTGGCAGCTGAGCGCAACTATGCGCAAATCGATAAGGAGGTGCTTGCGATAGTGGCCATGGTGAAAATATTTCACCATTACCTCTACGGCCGGCCCTTCACGGTCTTTACAGACCACAAGCCTCTCCTGGGGTTGCTCGCCCCGGACCGCCAGGCCCCCCAGATGACTTCCCCGAGAGTGATCCGGTGGTCTGTCTTCCTGGCAGGCTATAACTACTCGCTCCTACACCAGCCCGGGAAAGCGATGGGGCACGCTGACGCCTTGAGCCGCCTACCTCACGACGGATCCGGACCCGGCTCTAGCCCACCAGATCGCGCTCCTGTACGCGCTGCCAGACCAGCTGGTCCACGTCCGGGAGGTCGCCCGCCGCACGGCCAGAGATCCAATCCTCTGCCACGTCCTGGACTGGGTGAGAAGGGGGTGGCCCGCGACAGCAGCGGGGCCTGAGTTTGCGGCGTTCGCCAACTGCAAAGACGAGCTTTCGGCCAGCAAAGGTTGTGTGATGTGGGGAGGCCGGGTGGTGATCCCCACCCCTCTCCGAGACCGGGTGCTGGCGGCACTGCACGAGGCTCACCCAGGCGTGGTACGGATGAAAGCCCTGGCTCGGAGCTACATGTGGTGGCCAGGCCTAGATCAGGACATTGAGGGACAGGTGAAACAATGCCCGCCCTCCCAGGCCTCCCGGCCGGCACCTCCCCAAGCTCCCGCGAGGGCTTGGGAGTCCTCACACAAGCCCTTGTCCCGGCTACATTTGGACTTTGCAGGGCCGTTCCAGGGCCAGATCTTTTTCATCCTGGTCGATGCCTACAGCAAGTGGCTGGAGGTAGTGCCCGTGCCGTCAACCTCCTCCACGGCGGCCATCAGAGCGATGTGGCATATCTTCAGCGCCCAAGGCATCCCGCATACCCTGGTCACGGACAACGGGACGGCTTTTACCTCGAGCGAGTTCCAGGAATTCACGAGGTATTACGGGATCCGCCACGTCCGGTCAGTCCCGTTCCACCCAGCCACGAATGGTAAGGCGGAGCGCATGGTGCGCACCACCAAAGAAGCGCTTCGCAGGTTCGAAAGCAAGGACTGGGACTATAAGTTGGCAACGTTCCTGTTTGGTCAGTGTACGACCCCCCACAACGAGACAGGTCGCAGCCCTGCCGAGCTCCTGGTAGGTCGCCGCCTGACCTCCAGGCTGGACCGGCTACACCCGGACCGGGCCCCCGAAGAAGAACCAACAACGGAATCACCCCAAGCCGCGAGGGGCTTCTTTCCGGAAGACCCAGTCTACGCAAGGAACTACGCGCAAGGGCCACCCTGGATCCCCGCACGAGTGGTATGAGTGAGAGGACCTCGATCGTATGAGGTCTCCTGCGAGGATGGCCAACTACTCCACCGCCACATCTATCAACTACGACGGAGGGTCCTCCCGAACGACCCCGAGGACCTGGAGTTTACGGAGCCAGACAAAGCGGCTTCCCCCACACCCGAGACGCTGGCACCCGCGCCCATTCCAGTCCATCTCGCCCCGGAACCTCTGGTGCCATCACCAGCAGCCACGCCACAACCAACCTCCCTGCCATGGGCCCTGGCAGCACCCACGACCACCACACCAGAACTCCGCCGCTCCACGAGGACCAGGAAGGCCCCAACGTACCTCCAGGACTTTGTGTGTGGGTAGTCTGGACTATGGGGGGAGGGGTGTAATGTACTCCGCCATGACCACGTGTGCGACCATTGGGCCATGCGGTCATGCAAAGTCCTGAAGCTTCGCTCCGAGAGAACAATAGCCAAGCGGATTCTAGCCTGCACCTATCAGAGGGCCAGGTCCACAGCCAAGAGCCTATGGGACTCTCGGCTACTGTATATAGCCTATAGGGAAGTAGGGGGTGTGTTTTGGTGAAGGGTTTTCTGTGCATATATACCGGCCTGCGAGCCGGCTCACTTCGTCTTGTTCCTTCTGAATAAAAGTACTTTGCTGAAATCACTCAACGCTTCTCAGTACTTTTCAATATGTATGTAGAGTGGATAAGCTTTTATAGTCTGATCTTAGACAAAGTAATTTTTAATCAGGAAAGTTTTAACATGTGTATACCTTAATAAATATTTGTACTTATATATATACATATGGTTTAGCTTAGCCCTTTTTGGTTCGCAGTCATATCCTGGGTTAAGTTTTCCCCCCTCCCCCCTTTTCCAGTTTTTGTAATAATCTGTGCATCAGATTCTCTAAATTCCCAACTTTCATGTTAAAAATATGGATTTGGTCCCTTTCATTGTGGAAATATAAGGGGAAAAAGACATATTTCTACAACAAAAAGGGCCAGAGTGGGGGATTTTATGCATTTTAATGAATGTATGGAATTCAGAGAACCTGATACACAGTTTAAAAAGAGCAAGAGTCCAGTGGCAGGGTGTGAGCTTTTGTAAGTCACTGCTAACTTCTTCAGATACAGTTAGAATGTGAGTCCATCTGTCCTTATAATTGGAGAGCAGAGTGATTTCAGGTGCCAACTGACAATAGCAGGTGAATGACAATAGCAGACATGACTGGATTAGGTGTGATATGAAGAGGGGTAGCAGGCATGGAGAAATCAGCATTGGTAATGAGACATGAATGATATGGGTCACAGTGGCTCAGTGGTTAAGACACTTAGCTGCAGACCAGAAGGTCAGTAGCTCGGCAGTTTGAGACTCTAGTGCCTCATGATGAAGTGAGCTCCTGTGTCTGGTCCCAGCTCCTGCCAAACTAGCAGTTTGATAAGTAGATAAATAGGTACCGCTTCGGTGGGAAGGTAACAGCATTTCGTGCACCTCGGCATTTAGTCATGCCGGCCATATGACCACAGAAATGTCTTCGGACAGCGCTAGCTCTTTGGCTTGGAAATGGAGATGAGCACCACCCCCTAGAGTTGGATTCGACTGGCTTTCGAGCAAGGGAAATCTTTACCTTACTAATGAGACATGAAACTTTGGTCTCAATTCAGTCCAGGAGGACGCATTGTCTTGAGCTTCATTATCAGTTGCAATTCAGCAGGAGATTTACTCATTGTGACCCAGGAGCCATCTTGAAACTACAAACAAAGGACTTGGTAACAGGTATCAATATATGTGAGTGTACCAATGATAATATATTGTGTGTAAGTTGTATTAAGAGAACAGCAATTTGGCCTCCTCTTCCCAAACAAAGTCAGAGACACTCTAAGCAACCACTTGAGCTAATTCACACTGACTTATGTGGGCCTATCAAATGAGCATCAACCTCTTTTTTGATGATTTTTTCAAGATCTACCATCTACAAACTGAGCAGAAGCTAAGAGACTATGTTACCATGGTTTCTAACAAGTTCAACAAGAAGCCTCAAGCCATTCAGTTTAACTGTCGTGGTGAGTACATGTCTAGATTAGTGCAGGCATTCCTAAGGGAGCATGGAATCCAAAACAGAATTACCATACCACACACCATAATAGAATTGGGTTACTGAGTGCAAGAATCACTCTATAATGGCCATGGTCAGATGCATGGTAATTTACTCAAGACTTCCCTACAGGCACTGGGAAGAAGTTGTAATGACTGCAGTTTACTTGCAAAACAGATTGCCAACCAAGCAACAGACAAAACTTCTTATGCGTAATGGCGTAACAAAAAGCCAAGTGTAGAACACATTAGGGTGCTTGGATCCAAGTCCTATGCCCATATACCAAAAGAAAAGAGATCCAAACTAGAACCCTGAGCTGAAGAAGGCATCTTTGTAGGCTATGCTCCAGAGAACTAGGGATACAGAATTCTAGGCCCAAACACTAACCAAATTACTACAAGCAGAGTGGTGTAGTTCAATGACCAACCAAATTTATTTATTTATTTATATTTATAATTTCAATTTATAGCCCTCCCTCCCCGCAATGCAGGCTCAGGGCGGCTCACAAATAGGCATACGCCAACACATAAAAACAGTTAAAACCATAAAAACCATTATTACAAAATTACAACATATTAAGTTCTCTAGATGTTCTAAACAATTGCTGCAACAGATGACCGTTCAGATGGAGATGGCAGCAACAATCAACTGCTGGTGTATCACCCGGAGCTAATGGATGCAGTCACTGCACAGATACAACCGGATGCTCAACCAGAAGATGAGGTGAAGGTGGAAGTTCCTGAACCTGCAGATGAGCCAGAGGGGCCAGAGACCACTGCGGGGGCAGACGAGACCCTGGACCTCAGATGCTCATTGGGGGCCAACAAGGGAGTTCCATCTGGGAAACTAGCCTGCCTCACAGGGGCATTACAACTATACAAACCAACATCATGGGCTGAATTACAGCACATGACTAAACAAGAAGCAAGCAAGTGGAGGAAAGCATCACAAGAAGAAATGGTCTGCTTCAGGTCCACTTTTGGACCATTTTAGCTGACTCTTCCGGGAGGATGTCAACAGGATCCTGGCAGCCGTGAGGCCTACCACTTGCTCCCTTGACCCATGTTCATCCTGGCTGGGTAAGGCCTGCAGGGGTGGTTTCCAGGCCCCACTGGGAGGAATTATCAACTTGTTCCTTTCGTTGGGGACTTTCACTGGGGGATTGAAGGGGGCTGTGGTATGCCTGCTTTTTTTTAAAAAAAAATCACTGGACCCTGAGGTCCTACCCAACTACTTCCAAGTTTCGAACTTGCCATTCCTGGGCAAGGTAGTTGAGAGGGCAGTGGCTGAGCAGCTCCAGGCTTTCCTGGATGATGCATCCATCCTGGATACAGTCCAATTTCCACCCTGGCCATGGGACGGAGACGGTGCTGGACGCTCTCATGAATGATTTCCAGAGACATATGGATTGGGGTGGGTTGGCACTGCTGTTGCTTCTTGACTTAATGGCAGCATTCGACATGGTTGATTATGATCTAATGACCCACCGCCTTGCTGACATAGGAATAAGGGGGACTGATTTACAATGGTTTTCCTCCATTCTCCATGGTCAGGGACAGAGGGTGGCACTTGGTGAGTTGGTCTCCCTGTGATACCCTCTGGAATGTAGAGTGCTGCAGGGGGAGATCCTCTTGCTAATGCTGTTCAACATCTACATGCACCCCCTTGCCCAGTTGATATGGAGGTTTGGGTTGGGTTGTCAGTAGTATGCTGATGACACCCAGCTCTATCTGTTGATGGATGGCCCCCGGACTCTGCCCCAGATAATTTGGACAGGGCTTTGGAGGCTGTGGCTGGGTGGTTATAGCAGAGTCGGCTGGAACTTAATCCAATGAAGGTCCTGTACCTGAGTTGGGTGTGTGTGTAGGCTTGGGAATCAGGCTCCCATCGCTGGACAGGGCACCATTGGTGCTGGGGCTGAGGGTGAGGAGCCTAGGGGTGATCCTGGATGCCTTGCTTTCTATGGAGACCCAGGTCACCACTGTTGCCAGGTCTGACTTTTATTATCTTTGGCAGATCAGGCAACTGGCTCCTTATCTCTCCTCACAGGACTTGGTTACAGTGACCCATGCAGTAGTCACTTTCAGGTTAGATTACTGTAACTCGCTTTACACGGGTTTACACTTGAATCTGATCTGGAAACTTCAGCTAGTGCAAAATATGGCGGTGTGCTTGCTGAATGTGATATCTGTGTGGGCGCACATTCAGCCAGTGCTACGCCAGTTGCAATGGATATCAATTGAATACAGGATCCTTTTCAAGGTGATGGTATTAACCAGTGTGGTGTAGTGGTTAGAAGCATGTATGGTAAACTGGGAGAACCAGGTTTGATTCCCTATTCCTCCACATGCAGCTGCTGATGTGACCTTGGGTCAGTTACAAGCTCTTTCAGAACTCACGAGCAGTTCTCAAAAGAGCTCTCAGCCCCACCTACCTCACAGGGTGTCTGTTGTGGGCAGGGAAAGGAGATTATAAACTGTTCTGAGACTCCTTCAGGTAGTGAAGGGTGGTATAAATCAAATCTCTTCTTCTTCTTCCCCTATGTGGATGCATCAATGAGGATCCCTGTTCAAGTCAAAAAGGGAGATTGCTTTGAGTCTAAAGAAATAATCCCCGCCCAGTGAAAAGAGAGATATCTCTTAAGAGAGGAGTGATTCCTTGGTTGGTGTATAGTGAAGGATTTTGGGAACTTGGTTGTGTGTCCCTGCCTTCAAAACCTTAAGAGTCAGTGAAACTCAGGAACTTATGCTTGAGTGTTCAGGCAGATACTGAAAAGAAAGCCTTTGTCAATCTTAACTGTCTTTACTGTCAGTCTTTACTGAAAAGTGAAAACACCTACTTGGCAACAAATTATCTTGAATTTAGCATGATTACAAAGTTACCTCAGTCATCCCATCCCTGAATCCACCTGAATGTTCCCCTTCAAGTTAAATAAAATATTTTTATTTTTGAAATTTCAAAAGTGTCTCATGTGCCATTACAGAAGTAGAATAGAAGCAGGTGATCTTGTCCCTTCCCTCAAGTCCCTGGGGTGGGCCAGCATAAAAATATATAATAATGCAGAAGGGTGGGACAGTCGTAGACCAACAAAAAGAGAGAGAAGAAAGTAGATATAGGGGCTGCTCAGCAAGAAAGAAGAAACAAAGGGAAAATCCTGTGTGTGAGGTAGGGAAGAGGGTGAGATCACCATACCCTCTGTCTTTCAGAAAAAGATAGTGTGCAGACAAAGCACATTAGAATCAGGAACCATTATGTAAGGGTCCTGCAGTGACAAGCAGTTGTCAAGGAACTGAAATTGAATATACTGTGCTGCCCACTTTAATGTTTTAAATTGGTTTTAGTGTATTGATTTAATATTATTATTTATTATTTGACTGAATTATTTTAATATTGTATTGAATTTATTGTTGTGAGCCACCCTGAGCCCACTTGCGGGAAGAGTAGGATATAAATCGAAATAATAAATAAATAAATAGATAAATAAATGTGGCCATCTATATGTATAGTGGCCATCTATATGTATAGACCCTTCTTCAGTGGTGTCTTTGACACAAACCTATTCACCCTATTGGAAAAAAGTAAAGGACTGCATTTGGGAACACATACAGAGGTCACAGAAAGCACCCGTCTTCCATCACCGGGTGGCCAGTTCTCACTGACAGAGATCCTGCAAATGTGTGGCTTATACTTACTTGGCAACATAATATTACTGGTCTAAACACACTCACTGAGCTTTGAGACTGAGTCATATTTGAACCCAAATTTCTCCAGCTTCAGTATTCTACCCAGTACACTACACTATGCAGACTTTCAGCATGCACATGTTTTAGTATGGTACTTGTGCTTATAGTTGTCTTGGTGTCTGGGGCCAGCACCTGTCCTGTCCTCAGCCAAGGCACCCATGGCAGAGGATGTCTGCAATGCCACAGGAAACAAGCAGGACCCACCCGCCTCCCTTATATCTTGGGCAGCTGCTGCTGACTTGGCCAGCACTCCCAAGGTGGGACTCTGGGCAGCAGGTAGCTGCAGCAACTGGACATGGGCTTCATTCCCTCTCTCCTGGGCTTCAGGCATGGGCTAAGGATATCATCTCCAGATAACAAAGGCAATGTCAAAGAAGAGTGAGCCTCAGAGGCCATCAGGCCAGCCAGTGTGCATGGAGGCAGCCAGCACAGCCCAACCATCATAACGTGGGTACAACATGAGAGGGGCCCTACCAGGCAAGAACCTGGGAGAAGGCAAGCAGGGAGGGCCCATCTGAAGGCTTCCTGGGAACAGACCAGTGAGAGAAAGAGGGGGAGCCAGCAACGGAGCAGGAGACTAAGGGAGTATTGTTCCAACCCCTGCCCCAGATAATGGCTCAAGCCGTAGGGGTGGGGTCAGGGGTGGGGTCGGGCTGGAGCTGATTGGTAGGGGCAGGGAGGAACCATAAATGTTGACTCCTCAACTACGCCCAGGCAGGAAAGAAAGGGTGAACTTGAGTGATGCAACTCTTTCTCCCTTCTATTCTGAGGCCTGGGGAGATTCCAGTGATTGACAGCAGTGTGACATCTGAGGGCCATGAGGTGGTGCCAGCAAGGTGCCCCACACTTGGTTTCTACCTTACTTTTCTCTCTCTTTTTAAAAATTCCATCTCCAACAGGCTCATGTAGTAAAAACTAAAGTTGACAAGAAGGTAACTATGGTTTCTCTGTTTGTGTATCATGCAAATATAAATGGGATGGTGTATGACGTTTGAAAGGCCTCCTGTTTCTCACTTTCATTTGAGGTTTGCTGGAGAGTTTCTGCCCCCCCTTTAGGACTGAGGTGGGTGGTGGCCATTAGGGAGACAGCTGTCTTAACTATAGTCTCTCAGGTATGGAACTCCATCCTCACAGTAGCTCACCTAGCACTGACAAAGAGTTTTTGAGCTATTTGTTGGTCTTGTCCTTTTTGCTTTGTTAATGTATAACATAAGACTTTTATTCTGGTTTACTTCTTGAAGATACATATGCCCCACCTCTCAGAATAATTCCAATAACTCTGCTTAAAACAATTAAAATATTTTTAAAAATGTATTATTATTATTATTAAAATATGATTAAGGGACAAAAACAGAATCAAAAACAGAAAATTACAATAAAACATTTCAAAACAGCAACAGATAAAAACAAGAAAAGCATACTAAAAGCGCCATGGGATAAAAGCAGGACCATCTGATATGTCAATAAAATGCTTGCTTTGCTGTGGGTTTTACATTGCATTGTTGTTGTTTTTTATATAATTTGGTGTTTGCTTTACAATAATTTGATAATATTATTTTGTGATTTCAACCATTTCTGGAGCAATGCAGAAAAGTGGTTTATAGCTAGTTTAAATGAATTATGGAGTTAGCTTAAACAAATAAACATCACAGTAGACCCAGGGCTATTTTTGGGCAGGAACGCACAGGAACGGAGTTCCGGCTGGCTTCAGCATTGGCCACGCCCACTACAGCCAAAACCTCTGCATGTGTGGATACAGAGGGACCCCCCCTGGAGAGCGACCCCCCCCCCGGCTACTCCAAGGGCCGGCTTGCCTGGGCTTCCTGCAGCCGCGGGGCACCCGTGCAAGCCAAGGGAAGGCATGGCGGTGTGGCCTAATATGCTAATGAGTTTCTGCTACTGGGTGTGGCTTATTCTGTCAGGGGTGTGGCCTAATATGCTAATGAGTTTTGGCTGTTGGGTGTGGCCTATTATGCTAAT